TATTCAGAAGCTGAAGAGTCTTCGATAATTAAAAATTGATTTATTTATGAAAACAATGGTTTGTAAAATTATATTTTATTTATGTGCAATTGTTTGTGTTATTATGTACGCTGTATAAAACAACGAATGTAGGCTGTCGATGAAGTAAACAATTATTTTCAAAGGGAAGACAAGCGAATTTGTAATTTATTATTGTACGTTTTTCTGCTTCATATCATGAAACATTTATTTATTAAGCTTTTTAGTACTCTTTTGCAACCAATACTATCTTGATCTTGATTATATCAATCAATCGCCAGTTCTTAATCGGCTATTGACCCCAATGTTTACGGCCCCCGATAGGTTAAATACAAATTTTAATAGCAACAATAGGTTTAATACAAATTTTAATACAAATTTTTGTACAAATTATTACATACAATTTTTTTTCAAAAATAAAATAAATCATACTATACGCAAACAATTGGGTAACGGAGTGGTGTTGTGTATCATTGGATAATATTTATAATATGGAATGTTGCTATTTCATGCGAGAATATCACTCAGTGATGAGGTGTTTTTTAGCAAAACCTGCCTTAATATTTGAATATATTTGAGTATTTAATTATTTTAATCATTGTCAATTATCAAATGATAGAAATATCATTTTACTACTGATTAAAAATATTTAATGCAAATATATAATAGAAGGAAACTTTAACATGTAACTTCAAGTCAGGTAATACGATCAATTGATATTGGATCGTCAAAACACACAAAAAGATGGAGAGTAGAATGTTAAATCTCGGAATATACCCAATACCAAGTTCGGGAAATACCTTACATAATGATTTCATAATAAAGATCATACGTTTTTTACAACTGCATTACACAAATGTCTTTAATACAAAACATTGAAGCATAACCACTACCTGATTTATACAATTTTAGGTTCCACACCCCAAATTATTATTTTTAATAGAAATAAAAAAATATTTTACAATTTAATAATAATTCCGGAGCCATTATGTTACGTTCCTCCAGAAATCAAGCCACGAGTATAAGAAAAATTTCCGTATGTATGCAAACGCATGTACGCAAATACATAAATTTCAAACGATTTTGAAAAGATTATTTCTAACTAAGATGTAAGCAAAGTTGAATATTAAATTTTGCTATGTCTTGTCCATTTGGTTATATAAAGAGATCACTGTAAGAGAAACTGGAGACGATGGCTGCTTAAAGACAAAAATTCATTTTTATGACACTGTGAGAAAGCCATTTTGAGCTCGAGTGAGATTTCAGAAAATAAAAATAACGGGCCAAGTAATGCGAAACAGGATAGATGAAACAAGTGATGGTTCGGGCATCAAGAGCAAATCGCTTATTTAAGTAAAAAGGAAAAATGTCACGGGGGCTGTTTTTTGGGAGGGAAGGGAGGAACAACCTAATTTTCTTCGTCAGAATGTAATAATCAAATAAAATATTTGATATGATGGTTGAGGAGAAATCATACAATGTTTGAAGTGATAATTACGAGAAAATTTATTTTTATCGAGAATTTAGCATAGGTACGCTTTTAATCTACATGAATGCGATCAGAATCAATCTAAGTCACTCTGAGGAGGAATCTCAAACTTTCCTCCTCTCCTATGATAATCTCCCATCTCTTGCGGTGAGAAGAGGAAACTATTTTTAATGGAACTATACGCCAGAATAGGAGAATCTCCTATTCTAAGCCGGAAGCCACAGCCCCCGAGAGAAAATTTCCAGAACTCTACTTATGTGGAACAACGGAACTTCTGAAACTGTCAGCCTATCTGTTCTGATGCATGTTCAAAATAAACAAAACCAACAATTTTTCAATAAAGATCAATTTCTTTTAAAAACAGTCTAGAGATTATTTTATGATTAAAAAAATCGCCGTTTTTTCTTTTCTTTTTTTTTCATGTGGAATATCTGCATTGACCGCGCAGTTGGTGAAGTTGACTAGTGCAGATCAGATTTTGAGTAAAAATTGAATGGTCCAGGGGCTTCATGTTAAGTACCATCCAATTTCAATGTTTGTACAATTTTACATTTTACAATTTACAATTTATATTACAATTTTACATTTCACATTACAAAATTGTAGAGCTTTGAATCGTGCCAGAGTACTTTGGGAATTTTGAAATCATTTTGGAAAAAATATTCGAATAGTTTAGGGGCATATGTTGTTCAGGGATAGACTTAAACATTTTGAAAAAAAACTTATAAATTCTATGTTGGCTACGTCTATTACTATATCCAATCATACCAGAAATTTCACAATTCAAAATATTAAAGGAGACCTCTAGTGGGCATTTCAAGCAACTCTGAACGAAATGAATGGTCGCACCATCTCGTAGCGAACATGAAAACTACGTTGAAAGTGCACTCTGCGATAGGGCAGACAGAGCGTATGGAATACATTTTTTTTCACGTTCAAGAAGCATATTTCTTAGGAAGAGATGCATTATTGCACGTATTCCGTTTTTGTATGTGCATTATATCGAATTTTAATAGGTTTTCATTCCAACAAATCGTGTTCATATTTTAAGAAAGTTACCGATCATACGAGTTTCACAGCAACTCCTCCAAAGGTGATATAAAAAGTTGAAAATACACTATATATTTTATCCAATTAATACATCTTCGCAAATACGTCGAAAAATTTACCTCTTATTGATAAAATTCAATAGTATTCTGACAAACAATGCAAAATCAGACCTTATACAATGCCATGATAAAGCAGATTGCCAGGAAGGGAAGAGGCAAATTATAAGATTTGAAATAAAACTATGGGCTTCCCAGAACTGACGAGTAAAGCGAATCTGAGGGAAGTCCCTCATTGGGGAACAAGTTTTATGAAGGCGGAGTCACAGTTTGTAATAGCTATTTTTATGTAGTAATTCATGTCATAATAAGAACACCTAATTATAATATAACTTTTAAATTATTGTATTTTTACTGATACGCCATGGCTTTTTATTGTGTTTTATTGCCTTCGATACGGAGTTTCTATACACACTGCATAACTTACCATGCATCCAGAGGATCATGGTTACGAAGGCAATATGTAAACAGTTTAATAGTACTCTTATAGAGATAATTATCAAAGAGAATTATGGGAGGAAATTATGAAAAGGGAAACAGAGTCAAGTAAACACCTAGTTAATTAGTAAATACATGTGAATTGTTAAACATTAAGTAGAAAATAAAATCATATATCTACCACGGGCGTCAACTGGTTCTAATAATCTCGGTTGACAAAAAGCTGTTGGGTTTCTTGTCGACTCTCGATCATTATAACACTTATCCTTGGTGTATAAATCTCTCTCCCGCTAACACTTGGACCAATACACCCATTACAAAATTGGAATGTGTATGTCGGGACGACAAACTATAATTAACTTACTCCTAGAAAAACCCTCATCAGGAAGATGGCTGTCAGCCAAACACGAATGATCATCACGCTCCGCCATTTGCCTGGCATTTGCCGGGGAAACCAAGTAAAAAATACCTGTCAGAGCAGCCGGCCGCTAAAATTGGTCTAGCTATCTAGCTGGTGTCGAAATTCGGCCTCTATCAGGACTGGAACATAGGATATCTTAATCACAATCGCTGCAGAGTAAGCGGCTTGATTTCTGGAAAGAACGTGACACATAATGGCCCCGGAATTATTATTAAATTGTACAATTTTTTTTATTTCTATAAAAATAATAATTTGGGGTGTGGAACCTAACATTTTATAAATCAAGTAGTGGTTATGCTTCAATGTTTTTGTATTAAAGACATTTGTGTAATGCAGTTGTAAAAAACGTATGATCTTTATTATGAAATCATTATGTAAGGTATTTCCCGAACTTGGTATTGGGTATTCAGAGATTTAACATTCTACTCTCCATCTTTTTGTGTGTTTTGACGATCCAATATCAATTGACCGTATTACCTGACTTGAAGTTACATGTTAAAGTTTCCTTCTATTATATAATGTTATATAATTATGTAATCTGAGTTTACTGGTAAAAGTGTATAAACGGGAATTATTACAGATATAAGTGGATGAAAACTCTTATCCAAGACCCTATTTTTTTCTCATCGCAATTTAGCGGATCAGGTGATCTCTGTGTGTCTCTAACTTCAGATTTGTTGAGGTTCGGAAGCCTCGACAAGCGAGGAGAGCAAGTAATATAAAAAGAATTGCAAAGCTCATTTATTATTTTTAAATAAAAATGCTTCGCATATTCTAATCGACTTTGTAAATCTATCAACGCTATTGCCAGATAGTCCACTGCTGCAGATTAATAAGATTGTCTATGCTAGCTTTATAGGAGCCTATATTGTCTAAACCTGCTGGACAGACTTTAAACGTCTTAGAATTTACCTGTACCTAAGACTGATTTAACTGAAACAACTGGATAATAAGAGAGGCTGAACAACTGGATAATAACTCTTGGTGGCATGTTCTGGGTACATTCAAACCAATACGATCCAATAAGTCCTATGAAATATATTTACTAAATCATTGTTAACGTTCTCTACGATTTTAAATAAACACTTACAATTATTGTTGTACTATTTTTTATATCATTTGAACATTTAAAAAATATTGCCTGAAGATGCAGAGAAGACATGACAAATACTTAAGTTCTTTGTGTTCTTACGCAAGAAAAGTAACGGTTTGGTAAATAAGTCAATTATTTTCATTAAAAGTACGCGATGCTGTTTAATTCTGAATTCTGAATAAAACCGAAATGCATATCGTGTGTTCTGATGATTTGTGAAAAAGTTTAGTAGTGACGGTTCCTGAATTGTGGAATAAATGCACCAAATTTCTCCGATCTACTTTGTTATTTAGGACCACTGTTTATCAAATGCTTAAGTGTGGGGTACGGAGCAATAACATTACAACAACTTTTACAAACTAAAAGAAGTCAAATGCTTTATTACCAACTACTGAAACAATACATAAGAACTAGATTAAAAACACATTACGAAACTTAATACTGTACGCGAGTGGGGCGACGTGGTTTCAATGAGCTGGATTTGGAATTGGGAAACGATCCAGACTCGGAGCTTGAGCTGGAGCTGGATCCGGATTCGGAGCTGGAGCTGGATCCGGATTCGGATTCGGAGCTGGAGGTGGATCCGGATTCGGAGCTGGAGCTCGATTCCGATTCGGAGCTGGAAGTGGATTCTGAGCTGGAGCTGGAGGTGGCACTGGCACTAGAGCTTGAGCTGGAGCCATGCTTCATGTTGCTCATGTCCCTGGCGACGTAGTCGGGAATGTCTTTGTCGTGCTTGATGCTCCCCGGGTAAATGAAGTAGTTGGTCGGGAACGTATCGGAAGGCGGGCGATGAACGCGGTCGGGAACCGAACTCGGTACATGCGCCGTTGCTTGCGCGAAGTCCGCAGCGGAAGGCAACGGTTGCCCGGGCCGGAAGTGGTCAAAGAAAAACTTCGAAAATTCTCTCGAGTCGAACAAAGCGGGCGGGACAAAGTCATGATAATGTTTTCCGAAAAACGGCGGGATGACTCCTTTAGGATTCGAACCACTGGCTTTCGAGGGGTGCGGATTCGCAGGGTTGTGTTTGTCGTTGGGGTGAGGACGAAGCCCATAAGACGGGGTACTGGCTTCGGCTTGATTGGCCTGGTGAATCTGCGGTTTCGGCGTCGACGGGGAAGGTTGAGGGGCGAAAGTGGGGCGCGTGCGGTTGAACTCTCTGGCCAAGTCGTCGCTCGAGTATCTGCGTCCGTTGAACATGAGAAACTTGCCATCGCCATTCAGCCTTTCGTCGCTTCCGCTCGAACTCTCTGCGTGACTTTCCGCGTTGAAGCTCTTGGAGTACGTTAATGACTCGTCAACGTCTTTCCCGGCTGGATTAACGGGTGCCCCGAAGCCATTAGGAAGGAACTGGGGACGCAGCTCTTTGTCTTTATTCTCCATGTGCGGTCTCGTGTGCACGAGCTCAGGATTCAACCCTCCGTGCGTTTCTGAAAATTTCGTGTTGGCTTGCTGGTTCTTTAGAAATACGTACGGCCGTTGTTTGCTTAGCTCGGACGCGTCTCGTGTGATTTGACTGATTATATTGTTGATGTTAGTGTTGCCTTGAGAATTTCCGTTCTGCTGGAAGGTTTCTTTGACGCCGTTCACGTTGTTCACCTGCGTCTGGTAGAGCACCTCCGGGGCCTCGCCCGTGACCACCGCCTCGTAGGAGACCCGGCCGCCGTCTTGCGCGTTGGAGCGATGGGCTTCGCTGTGGCTTTCGCGGTGCGACTCCGTGTGGGAGCTGCCCTTCATGAAGGACTGCATGGCGTCCAGAATGTTTTTAATGGAGTCCGCATTCCCAACTCCCACCCTCTGGCCTTGCACCATTTGCGAACCTCCCATGTGATACTCCGTGGAGCCGTACTGGTGCTGCTGCTGCTGCTGTTTGTGTTGGCTGCCCTGCCGGTTGCCCGGGTAACCAATCACGACCACTGGAGATGACTCCTTGTGGTGAGATGACGAAAACTGGGAGCTGGATTCTCGGTGCGAGTTGCTGGATTCTGAGTGGGCGTTTTGGCTGCCTCTGTTGTGACTTTCGAAGTTTCCAGACGAAGTACTGTGGTGCTGTTCGTTAGAGGGGGTTGGATATCCCCGAATAGGACCTACTGGCTTTCGACGTCTGTCATTGACATGCGACGTGGTCGAATGAAATTGATGGTTATCCTGAAACAAAAAAATGCACATAAATGACTCGCTAATTACCACACGTACCCGAAACCAGTATATACAAAACTGAAGACCGAAAGAACACCAGAAACTGGGTACTGGAAGATTTTGGAATTTAAAAAATGCTGAAACTAATGTACCAAGAATTTTAAAAAACATCTTGCGTTCATTTCCGAATTTTGAAAAATATTTAAAAGTAATGCAAATAGAAATAACAGAACATATTATGTACACCGCTTTCTAGAAGAACCAACAACAAAATATATACAAAGTAACTGTACATACCAGAACTGTAATTGGAAGAATATATGCAATGAAGATATTCAAATACAGGCTCTACATGCTTGTCTCATTAATACGGTCTTCCAAATGGTAGTGATACTCATGCTGAATTAATTCCTTCTTCACTACTTTCACGGGAAAACGTGTTTAGTGAAATCCAGCACCATAATTGTATGTACAACAGAAAATAAAGGTGCTTCAACGCGACCTCGAAATTAAGCTACTCCCAGGAGACTACCAGAGAAAACTGAAATTGATGAAAGCATTCCAGCCTTACCCAAAGGCATGGATGTGTTCCACTGAGTTCGGTGGCAGCTTCAAACAGGGTCTCCCAAGGCAGAAGTACCTATTCGACACAGCGTGTTCATTATATTTTCTTCCTTCGCGATTACTACATTGAATAATTGTTGGAAAGTTTCTAAACTGTGGTTACGATGAGATCATTACAGAAAATAGGCGTATACCAAATGTACAGTGTGATGTACTGTTCTGGGCAATTGTGAATAATAAATGAAATATCTGTATTCAAGAACAATCGGAGAGACTAATCCTGAATAGTAGATAATGTTTTCCATTTGTACAAATACTGAGCAAATAAATTGCTTTTTTATTTTTATTCCTTTTTCGTAAGAAATTTGTCGCAATTGATCTAAAAGTAATTACGTAATTGTTCTGAAGTTGTGGAACAATTCATCGTGATGAGAGATAAGAAAATTGATTGTGAAACCTGTGCGAACTTCGAGTATGTGTCGTAGTTAACTTTTCTTATCATCGTTGATTTTAACGTGCTTTAGCTTTTAACGTGATCTAAATATAATATAGCGAAAAGGACGGTTTGAAAATTAATCAAGCCATAAACCAAGGTCTTTCCCTGACCCTTTTTTACATTTTATCATCATTTCTTTAAACAAAATTTTTCTCCTCCCGCCCCTAGAATTGTCCCGTAAGCAGCTCAGACTTTCATATATCATTAAGGTCATTATTCTGATGTTAGTGCTGTTTTTTAAACCTTTCATAATTCAATTAATAATTTTCTTTTAGTGAGAGATACTAGAAAACCGCACTATTACAATAGGTTACAGAATTGCCCAGAAGAGTGATCACTGAGGTAGTTTAATGTTGTTCGTCAAAAGCAGTAAAATTTGTATGCGGGGTTGGAGCAATTTGTATCTATACGCACTTTTTTGAGGTCCCTAGTATGTGTGTATATATATATATATATATATATATATATATATATATAATGATGAAAGTAACAACAAAGCAAGGTTATCCACATGATTACTAGAAAATGTCTCCCGAGTAAAATAACTTATTTTGCATCGGTATTTGACTCCAGGTGGCTAGAGGAGAGAACGTGCGTGCACGAGCCAAATGCCAAGCACAATACAAGGATCTGTTATTGTTTCTTTTTGGCCCTGCCTCCAGAACAGGTCGATCGAATCATTTTGCGTGTGAACTTTTAACTTAAACGATTCCAACACGTCATAAGGATCGGAGAGGACTCTGAGTGTACCTGGCTGGCGACGTGGCCGGCGAGGTGGTTGCCGGCCTGCAGGTGGATGGGCACCACATTCACCTCCTCGAGGATGGGCACGGGCGTGGTGAGCAAGATGGCGTCGAGCTGGTCGTCGAGCGGCGCGGCGGCCACCAGCTCCTCCACGAAGGGCACGACGGGGCGCAGGAGCGGCACGGGCTCGCGTATGGGCACGGGGACGGGCACGGGCGTGAGGTGCGTGACGCGCGGGCCCGCCACGCCCACGCGGCTCGAGGACGAGGACGAGGACGACGAGGAAGAAGAGGAGGACTGGCTGCTGCTGCTGGAGGAGGACGCCTGGCTGCTGCTCTCGCTCAAGCGATGGCCCTGCGAGCACACGCGCACGTGGGTGTTGGCTTGCCATAAGGGAGACTCTGCCTGCCGTTACAAGGAAGCTATATTCAGCAAAATATAGGAATAATGTCTTTTTGAATACGTTGAAACAGGTTCATGAATATGGGAATTATGGGAAGAAAGAGAAAAATTAATGTATCTGCAAATTGATTCTTTTTGAGAAGTTGCGGAATATCTAGAATGGAGCTCATTAGAAATGAATAAATTATTAAGCGAATGTTGGTTCAAAAATCAATTATAGATGAATTGGCAACACGAAGGCTGAAATGATTTTATCACTTGAAAACACTTGATTGTGGGAGATGGTCCAGAAAGGTTTGTGAGCGAAGAAAGAGGTAGACCTAGAGAGGAATGGCAGAATCAGTTTTTAAGATATACAAAGAATGGGTCTAGAAGAGAATAACTGGAGTGATAAAGAGCTAAGGCTGTAAATTACTCGCAAAAATAAGAATAAATTGATAACATTTGGAAACTAATTTTTTCACTAGAGTAACAAATTGGACCAACTTGTAATTATTTGAACCAATATTTTCACGTTAATAAACAAAAACTCAAACTCTGTTAACAAACGGTCTCAAATCATTGTCATAGCAATCACATAATTCGAATTCTTGTTTAAAAATACGATTTTGTAAAATTTACGTAATGCTCATAAGTACACAAATACGTACATGTACGTACGTACATTCAGGCGATCAGTAGTAACTGGTAATTTTTAGGAATAAAAATGGTATAATTAGAAAAGAAGAATTTCATCTTATCTTTTATTGCACTCGGTGGAGCGCCATGTTAATAATTATTGCATTATTAATACTGTCCTTAGGCTCGACAGCGCATTACGGACCTTGGCAGACCAGCAGTGACCCAGCCTCTTGGCATTGGGATAAGAGGTTCGTGTGGGTAGCACGAAGGCATTCCTCCACCGTATATACTGGTCTTCACAATCTTAGGGTGGTTTCTCATCGTCACACAGCAATAGATATTGGGGCAGTAAAGAAGTACGTTTTGTAAAGAAAGCGCCCTTTTCTCATTTTGCCCCGTGCCTGGCATCGAAACCGTGGAAAGCGATCACGCTAACCAACGTAGCACCGAGGGCCTATTGTTAATGTTAATGATAAAAACAAGAGCGTAGCCTCACCTGCGCCCTGAGCGCGCTCTCCTTGGCGAAGGCGGCGCTGCCCACCTCGCTGGAGGTGAAGGCGTGGCTCTCGGCGCCCTGGCTGGAGGAGGAGCTGGAGGAGGCCGCCGCCCCGCTCCCCGCTGCGCCGCCCGGCCCGCCGCCGCCTCCGCCTCCGCCGCCCGCGCCGTTGCTGGCGCTGCTGAACGCGCGGCTCGAAGAGTCGGCAGACGACTGCGCAGACAGTTACACCTCTGCACTTTCACCCAAGGCGACTACCCCTCTAGGACTATAGGGTCAATCGCTCCTCAGAAGAAAAAAAATGACGGAACAAATCTCAGAATATATTAATCGAATGGTCTATACTTTTATTTGTTGACGTACTATTGGACCCGGTAATGATTTGCTATTGCAGCACATTATCCTTGATACAGTTCCGCCCACGTAATTGTTAATCACGTGTTACTCTACGCTTTGAAAAAATTCTAATCGTTGAAAGGATTTCTCGAGGGGCGTCTTTGTGCGACAGATATCCACACATATCCTTTTGTTTTACGAGTTTACCCACACATAGCCGTTTGCCCTTTTAAGCAATAATTTGAAAAGAGAAACTATAGGAAACTGTTCGGATTTCGGACGTGTACATGCCACTCCTCTTAATTCGTAAACCACCTGTGAGCAGTGAGTTTGACCAATGTTTTTGACGCGATACGTCTGTAGAGCAAGTTAGCTCATTGAGTCAAAGCAGCGTAATGAAAAGTACAACGCTTACGTTACGTCTAAACCTCGCGCCGGAGAAAAAAATGTCAATGAGCTGTTATGTTTAGGAGAGAGGGGACATGGATGAGTAAGGAAAGATCGGACGGGAACCATCCTTTGTTTTTCGAAGTGCAGCTCCGGCACTTACAAACACAAGTATAAACCCAGTACCTATGGGGTAGGTGGTGAGTGTGACTTACGCTAGACCCCATTGCTCCGAATGGAATTTTGAAGCATTTAGAAGGGATTGGTCACTCCTATGTATTTATACACCTCATCTGATTGAGCAAAGTAGAGGACGATCCTCACTGTCTCGGTCCGATGGCAATTTTGAAGCATCCTGTAGATCCTAGAGTTCAGTAAAGTTTTATTCATCACTTGTTCTGCCTGAGAAGGAAAGGGAAGGGTGTGGAGCGAAGAGAATTCGGTAGCCCCCATTTAGAGCGGGCTGTGCACCCACACGCACTTGCGCCGCCCTGAGGCGAGGCGGGGCGAGGCGAGGTACTCACGGCGTCGGCCTCCGCGGCGCTCTCGCTGAAGACTCGCCCGTCGGCGGTGGCGCCGGCGCGCGCGGCGCTGTAGGAGCGGGCGGCCGCGCCCAGGCCGGGGCCCTCCTGCGACGCGTTGCTGGCGCTGGCGCTGAAGGCGCGGTGCAGCAGGCGCGGCGCGCCGTCGGGTCCCAGCGCGAAGCTGTCGCTGAAGGCGTGCGCGCCGCTGCTGCTGAACGCCTTGCTGAACGACGAGGCGACGAAGCGCGGCTCCGCCTCCAGCCCTGCGCATTCACGCAACGTCCCTCGAGTTCAGGGCTCAGCAACAGCTAGCTCAGAGTAGTGAATGATGTTATGCCACGAGATGGTGATCCATCTCTGCTAGATGGGGAGATCCCGCGCCGAACTACACGTCGGTATTCTGACGGATTTCCCCCTCTAGGTCTCTCTCTGTCAAAATGGAACCGACTCGTTCGGAACAAGTTCTAAACACCGACAGGTCTGAATACCTTCACGGTAGTGTAAAGTATATTAGTATAAAGTAAATGAACGTAGGGCAAGAAAGAGGAAGGAATGATCGCACGCAGTCCTTGGTTTGTTAGAATACTTCCCTTAATTTGCCTGATCGGAGGCTTCCCACCAGTCCAGCCAACCGTTGGAATTTTCCCCCAGACCGCGGCTGAATTCGACCTAGCTGCATGCCTAGTGTCGAAAACACGCCAGCTTTGGGAATCGAATCCTACTCCTCCCGGTCAGATTCGCAGTGATAACGGCAATGCTGACTCTGAGCTAAACTCAACCGATCGTTACACGAGGACTGGTCATGGAAGCAACCGTTACCGTCATACGATTTGGGGCCACGCTGCCCGCGGTGGCCCATTACAGTGGCCCATGTGCCTCCAACCCGATCGCCTCCCACCCCTCCTGTTGGGGATGAATGACGTCACTCAAGCCCACAGAGGCGGCCCATAGCTAAGCGCTGGGGCGGAGTACGCCAACATGAGCAGATCACCTTTACACTGAGCAAGTTACCAGGTGTAAACAGGATATCTCACCAACAGTGGGCCACATCCATATCTTCCAAACTGTTTGCGATATCAAAATACAGTTTTCGCTTAACAAGACGGAATCGTGGGGAAATCATGCCTTAGAGAAATTATATATTTTTAGTGTTCGAGAAATTTAATCATGCTTGATTTTTAAATGGAACTATATATTTTTCTCGCCAGTAATGAATAGATTATGAAAATAGGAAAACAATGATGTATCACTTGCTAGTATTTTAATAGTAATTTGAGTTTAAAATTATACTTACAACGTTTTCCTTAGCAGCCCTTACAACGTCGCCTCGGACTGTGGCGAAACTGGCACAGGGAAGGGAATGGATGCTTACTTATTATTATATCTCTGTTAATTCATCAAATAATAGATAGCAATTTTCTCTTATTTAATATTAATAAACTTTCTATTTATCAGACGTACCAAAAGAACAAAGCAATAAAAATTTTGAAATACTCTTGACAATTCTATCAATATAACTTGAACAGAAATGCAAATCTGCAGTCGTGACTGCTAATACTGATTGGAGTGTTTCTCATTTCAAAGCGCCATAAGCTGCGACAAACGTGACAAAACTGAGGAAAGTGTACTGTTTTTTTTCATTTATGAACAGCAGAAGTCGTATGATAGCGAAGTGGATGAGTGATAATTTTAATAAAAAATGAAATTTACTGATAAAGAAAAATTTCATGCACTTCTGCTTTTTGAGATGTGAGAAAGAAAAGCCAGTCGTGGAGTAAAAGGTTTATACTCAAAGATATTACAAGCACTGGCGAAAATTTGCAAAAGCCTTCTTTCAAGAGGTAACTGGAATATAAAATCACGAGAAAGAAAAATTCCTGTCCCTTCCGAGAAGAAACAAAGTATTCTGGCATGTGTATTTAAAGTCCCGTATGCAAATTGTGGAAATACTGCCAGGAGAGGTGGAAATGTCAAATCAAGTGGCAACGTTTTCTGCAGTATCACATATTTCATCTTTATCACATGAGCCTTCATCAGAAATTACAAGGAACTGGTTTCCCACGATGTGTAGAGTACTGCAGATTTTTATTAATCTGACAGAGAAAACAGCAGTTTCTTTGGAAAAACTCCTATTCAGGGACGAAGCAACATTCGCAAACCGTGGACGTGTTGATCTTTCCAATATGCAACGCATTACTACTGGAGTGGAAAACTCCGGTGTGGACGAGGAAGTTCGAGTAGCGGAGACAGTGGCGTGTGAACCTGTTGTGCGGCATCATTGGTGAATTCGTTATTGAACCGTACTTCTTTGAAAAAAAAAATATTGACTGGTAATGTAGACTGAAATTTTCTGTAAGACACATTACCGGCCCTTCTGGAAGAAATACCCTTAAGCATGCGCAGGGAGATGTTTTTTAAACACGACGGTTGCCATGCACATTTTGTCAATGCGTCAAGGCGGATTCTCAACCAAGAGTATCCAAATAGATGGATAGGGTGTGCTGGTGTGATAAATAAGCCCACGCGTTTCAGAGTTCAGCCCTTGGATTTTTTGTGGGGAGAAAATCGAGAAGGTTGTGTATGAAAAAGTGCCCATGACTCCAAAAGATCTGAGAGGACGGATTGTGGCAGTTTGTGCCGTTATAAATCTAGAAACGCTCCAGGCTGTACATCGGTCCTTGCATACAAGACTGCAGATGTAGATTGCTGTTGACGGAGGTCTTAAAGAGCATATGTGAAAATAAAATATGTACCCGTTGTTATCGAAAGGCCAGAGTTGCCAAGGTTGTTACAGGAAATATTGTACATTTAATTTAAAATCACAGGTCAGAAAATCTAATTTTATACTTAAAATACCATCAAAATACAAAATATGAAACTTCATTGTATTTCTCTTTCCATGATCTATTAATTGTTGGTGAGAAAATATATAGTTCTATTTAAAAAATCAGATTAAATTTCTCGAAAACTAAAACTTTTATAGAATCTCTTTCTCTACGTCGTGTTACTTGACCCATGATTCCACATTATTCAGCGAAAACTGAATTTTCATATCGTGGATTCTTTAGAAGTTATGGGGATGATGGCCCACAGTTGGTATAATTATACATTCCCTATGTAACACACTCTAGACAGGAAACTATTTGTTGTAAGTGTGATAACTCGATAACCCTTTTATTTTATTTATAAATATTTTTTGACGGCTTCTTCATATTCAGATACGCTGAACGGGGAGCCGAATATTTTGACGTTTATCAAATAAACTTATTTCGTAAAAACGAAACGTTTGAAGAAACTAGATTATGACCTAACAGTCCGGAAAGCAATATCAATATCAATATTTATTTGAACGTCCAAAGTGCTAACAATACCCCGTCACCCTTATTTCAATTTGTTTCTAATGCCAGGGAACATTGAGATTGATTCATTGGTCTATCGTACATGGACTGAAATTGCTGAGAATCTTTTGGAATGGAGGATCTATCATTCCCATATTCGCTTCATTAATTGATATTCATTAATTGAGACATTTATGTTAAGGTTCTGGTTCATAAGAATTTCGTGCTTCATCAAAACGGGGTTTATCAGAGGGACAATAACATATGCGCTGTTTATTTCCTCCATGATTTTTGAATAGTACATTAATTTCAAATCAATGTAACGTAAAGTTATTAATTGTCCTAAAACAAATGTATACTAGATATGCGTTAATAAATTAATAAAATATTCCTTATTTTTGCGTATTTAGAGTATTTTAATTAGACATGAAACGCAAATAAACAATTCGGGAAGATCGGAGAAAGATGCATTAAAACCATTTTACCCTAACCCGGGTAGCAGGAAAGCGAAAGCCCTGATGTAGCCTACTGAACGAATCCCCAGGTCAGGGACGCCATAATTTAATCTTGTTCCGGGTCTGCCGCGGTGTGAGGAAACACACCGTGGGGTCCGCCGTTTGAGACCGGATCCCTCGCGAACGCCGGCGGAGGTGAGTCACTGGGTGAATCAGAGTGCGCGGCCCCCGGCAGCCACGGCCGTTGCATAAGCGACGGGTCCAGCCAACGCCACAGGGCGTGCCCCACCTGGCCGCAGCGACTGCTTGTCGCCTCCCTCGTCATATGGGCTGCATTGATTTCATTCATAGACAAGGCTGAGCTCATCGGCGAAATGATGAATGATGTGATAAGTAACAATGACTTGAATGATACAGGATATGTGGAGGAAGCAGGAAACGTAGGAGTACACAGATTAGTTTGTCAGGAAGTGGTGTGATGTTTGTTACAAACTTTTATAAATTGATTAAAAAAATACAAAATATACACAAGGGTTGTTTAGACCTAATTGCAGTCTTCGAGTCCACATAAACAACTTAATGAATAAATAAAACTATCGTCACTATTTGCTTATCACGCATGTGCCTACACGTTTACGAGAATGAACTGCAAATTGGAATTATTCTGTACCCTTTGGTTAAAAGCAAACGCAAAGCTTTGAGTTAGCCTTACCCATGTGAGAGTGTGATGTGAACTAACTAAGAATTGCTGCATATTTACTTAATTTTCGGAGGAACTCGCCGACGCCATAGTTTCAGGCAATTCAATAGTCTGGGACGAAACAGACGATACTACATTTGAGAAGATGCAGAATGCGAAAGTGTTGCACTGCATTTTATTTCCCACAGTCGCTCTAATTACTCCAATATAATTCAGTTCCGATCTCCAGAGAAATGCTGGTAGTCCCGGAAATTGTTTCAGAACACCTTCAAGCCCCATTAGCGGTTCATTAGTGCTGCAGTGACGGTTCATCCACGGAGAAGTGTCTCGGCCTTCGCGGCAGACCGCCTGAATAACGGGGAAGGAGTTGCGTTAACTCAGTGCCTTAAACATGTTATTACTTATTAACTTTATAAGATACAACAGCATACACGATTCGCCAATATGATTAGACTTTGGAATGATATAAATGAAATAAAAATACAAGTTTTTTAAAGTTTAGGAAATTTGACAAAACCTAAGAAATTTGGCAAAATATTGGAAGTTTACTGAGTTAATACAATCTTACACCAAGATATTCAGGTTTAAAACGATAAATAATGTTAAAGTTTATCTAAATTGTTTGTTCGCTCAGTGGTTTAAGGTATATGCAATATGCATTCTGGGCTTCTTACCAGCATATATGCCTTAAGAAAGTGTGTCTACATTAGTAACTTTAACATGCGCATGATAAACTGAAAATGGGGCTAAGAGCATCAACTGAGGTCACTGCAGTTCCTCTTATCGGGAGGTCTTCAGGTTCGAGTCCCGACGGTGGCGGGATTTTTCGACACTTGCTACATAGCTAGGTCGAATTCAGCCGCTGTCTGGAGAATTCTAGAGGCCGGGTGCTCTGATCGATAGTTTGGAGAAGCCATAGTCACAAGCCAATCAATATCAGGCGAATGGCGAAACAGTTCCCTAACAAACGGGCCACGGGCCTCGCGCGATCTTTCATTCCATCTGTATGGAGCCTAGAGATTTCTCGGCTGGGGCGGTGTCCTGCTGGTGGGAGATACCTGGTTAGGGAAAATCCTGCAAGCCGACGTAGGTCTACACCGGATCTCTCCTACCAGCCAGCGGAGGAAGATCACGGTAACTTACAGCGTTAAAACAACTACCACACTTACGGGACTAATAACATTAGTTGTCGACTTCTCCGGAATCTCTAATCAAAGATACGTATGAGATTATGAACGGAAAGAAAAACATGAATAGAATAATAAATGTTGAATCGTGTCTTCAGTGAAACTCACGTGTACACACACACACACACACACACGTGGGTTCTTGAGATCATAAGATGAAGTAAATGACAAAGTTAGTATGGAAGGTGATCTCAGCTGCCAACTTGTAGCGCTGACAGAATGTCGTGGTTTCTGCCGGCAGGTATTCCCCATTAGGGAGCCTTCCTCATCGCGGCGAAAGAAGCTTCAGCGAGAAATGACTACATAACGTGAATTTCAAGGGGCAAAACATGCTGAAGGCTGAAAAGACTTCTAGAACAGATCATACATTCCAATTCCACAAGTTAGTATAGTAAGCACCCCCTATATAGACTATAACCCATTATAAAAGCCTTGAATTGATATTCTTTTGAAAAATGTCGGATATCGGAAAGACAGCCAAATTTCACACTTCACAGATCTAAACTATTAATGAAGGATCTACGCCCAAAATGTTGCCTTTTAATTAATTTATTTATACAATGTCCGTTACTTCTGTGTTCGTTTAACGGGAAATAATTTTCTTCTTTCTGTCTACGCTTCCAGTCTGTTATTCCAGAGCATCATTTAGTCTTCTCATCGACATACCTGTACTTGCTTCTTTTGGGCTATTATTCCTTTCTGACTTCTTTGTCTTGATGTGAGGTACAAGTTCTTTCAATTAACCTTGCAAACTTGCGTCCATTTAGTATCTCGTTGTTTTCTTCTATTGGTCTATTCATGGTCATGTTCATGGTCTATTATTGAAGCTCTATCTTCTTCGCGTTTTTATAACTGTGGTCTACTATTAGTCTTGTCCTTTGCGGTCTAGGTTCTGCAGTATTTTCAGTACTACATACTATTAGTAGATAATGTCTTTACATTCAAGATATAGGTATTTATTTCTCCATATTGTGTGATGCAGATAGTCCAACATTATTCAATTTAATTTCTTGTTGTTCGATGTCGTGGAATAGTAAATATGAACTTGATATTTGAGATATATGAGAAAAAGCATCCATTTTCGATTATTTTCTTTTCTAGTTCCAACATGCAACATTTTGAGTTTTTCTCATATTTGATCTTTTGATTTTGTTTTGGTTGTATATATTTTAAGACCATCTTTTCGATTTCAATGTGAAACTGATTGAGCAATCTTTGTTGGTTGTCTTCACATTCTGCTGATTAGGCATTATTTAAATTGTTAGTATTTACTTCTTTTATTATCGCATCCCTAATTATAATAAAAAGAAGAGGACTCAAAGAATCCCTGTGGCTAAATCCTTACTAAGACACATGCAAATGTCTTGCTGGAACTTATTCATGCCGTCCGCAATATACTAGAATGTCGAGACCCAAGTCCCGTCCGTCAATATTTCAGCAGTCATCTGCGCCGTTCACCTCTGCCGTACATTCACCACTGTCTGCTTTCCTAGCATGAAGGATTTCATATTTTGAGAACCACATTATATAGTTTTCCCCCTTTATTACAAATTTCTCAGCAATGAAATGCTATTCGTTATAACACCATTTCTCATTTTTAGTCGTGAAATTATTTACCTTTCTTCTGTGTATCCACATTTCAAACGTCTTTACTTGTACTCGTGTTCTTTTATTTATAACAACTTTTAGTGACAGTGCTCTCGTCCCCTACACAGAATGTGACGATACATAAGATTTTAAAAATATAACTCAGTTCTTTGTAAAAATACGTCATTTCACAAAATATCCTTGAACGTGGACTTCGCGTGGCCAATTCCGACGACAAGAGGTTACATCATTTCGATTATTTTCCCCCTTAGTGAATGTCATATTTGCGATGTGCATCAGCACTTCTTCAGTCGCCAACGCCGGGCCGAAGACGAGCGGAGTGACACGAAGTACGCGTAGTTCGCTGGGGGCAGCGCCATTGCTCAGGCGCGCGTCGCGGACGCTGGATGGTTCGCCCTCGCCGGTGGCCGGCGTCCTGAGCGACGACTTTCGCGCTGTGCGGAGCGGCGCGCACTCATCCCAAGCGAGCGAAATGAAACAGGCTGGCTCGCTTTTAATACTGAAAACTTCGACTGCAATAATTGATGGTGTATAGAAGAATATTTCGAAGTTTTTTTTATAAAGAGGCATAGCGCATAAAAAAATCGATATAACGTCGATAATAAAAAATTCGCATTCATCGCGCATAAAAAATCTATATAATATATTGAAATGTTATCACTGGCATATGTTGAATAAAATACGATTCTGATATTTTGATCAACCTATTCTATTTGGCGTGTTCCTCTATGATAAACCTATTTTATTTGATTCGTTGAGTGTGCAACCCAAAGTTTGACGTAAGTGGTAAACTCTATGGTTTGAGTTGTGACAAGATTTATAACGCCAGACTTGGAGATATGACGTCAATCTCCGGACTTGTCAAGCCCAATCTTGGACTCATAGAGATTCCCTACCAAGAAGTGGGCGTGGTAGATGGAATTTAATTATGCTGTATTTCCAACATTTTTAGTTAATTACTCAAAATAGAAAGTTTTATTTCTTTAATATATTTCAATAGATCGAAAAATAACTTCATTTAGGTAGCGAAATACATCAGTAATATGTAATCCAGATTTCTGCACAATGACCTATTTTAGGTACAGAACTTTAAATTTAGAATTATTTTAAAGGAAAATACATCAGTAATTATCACGTAGTGATCCATTAAAGGGCTGCAGTATAATGTTTGTATAAAATATATTTAATTTCTACTATAAACGGAATCATTATTAAATGTTATAGAGCAACAGAACAAGAAAATATTAGGTTTCTATTACCCTTATAATTGTTATTGTTACATTGTCAGGTAACGTGAATCACTGAAATTAAATCAATAGATCAGGAGGAAAAATTGATAAACGCATACGATATCGCTTTTGAAATTAGAGCACGTGGAATTTAGTTGGAGGGCTTATCTGTAATTACGTGTGGAACTGTGTGCAAGTTAAATCGGCATTAAGTCTACTTTACCCATGATAAAATACTTTACAAATAATGTAAAATTTCATCGCGCAAGCCTTCTCCACATTGTTGTTGCTTATATAAAATGCAATGTGGGGTCAACTGTGAGGAATAAATTGCTCTATTCGCACTGCTCAAAGACAACGAATGCTTGGAGAGAAAAAAAACTAGGCTTTTGAGGGCCCATGTTACGTCCGCGTCCTGCGCAACGGGTCATTCGGAGGCAGTGTGCGGGCGGGGGCGGCGGCGCGGTCCGCGGGCGACAAGGTGCGCGGCGGCGCGCGAATGCCAAGGTCGCCGCGGGAGGCGGATCTCGGGTCCCCTGGAGGCGAAGAGGTCGCCGTGGAACAGCCGTGCATCCGCGGATGAGGCCGTGACAGAAGAAAGATGCTATCGGAATTTCCTTCGGGTGTTCAGCGGCCCTGGGCA